GGCAGTCCATCATATTATGACTCACCTTTACGCAAAAAGAGACCCGGCCCTCCCCCCCCCTAAAAAGGTTTGGAGGTTTTATAACATTGTTTTTTGTTTTTTTAAAGAGAAAAAAACAATGTCTCGTCAGTTGTGTAACTCGCTTGAAGTCCGACACGTTCTTTCGGAAAGTCATCAGTAAAGCTCTCCATGTCCTATTACTCGTGGTGTACAATTTGCAGGCACAGAGATTACAGTGGCCTACTTAAAAGCAGCTTCCTACTGAAACAAAATCTATGAAGTCTTTAAATGAATAGCGGACAAATAAAATGCATAACTAATTACCGGTATGGTATTACCAAAGAGTGAAGAATACCAAGACGGGACAAAAGGTCTCATTTCCCACCAAACTGGCTGCCCTTGGTAGCAGCGATCAAGCGCGAATAAAGCGTACACAAAGGACAGGAAGAAAGAGCGTGCTGTTCCACTCGAGCACTGTAGAACTGGGATTTTCATATATATGTCAGTGGCTGTTTCGCCTTGTTTTTTTCCACGCAAAGTGTTCGAAAACTATTTTGTCTGGCTTTTGTTCATATTTTGAATATAGTGAGTTGAGAATTAAAATTTTCATAAATGGAAAGCTGCAGTGAGGAGAACCTGTTCAGTGGCATAATGTAGATCTAGTCTTGGAGCATAAAAAGGTAGTAGCAGATTTTCAAGTTAAAAGACGACAGAACAGACAGTTGTGCTCTGCAATGAACTATTCTAACTGAAGATACAATAGATCGGACTTTTCTTTTTTTTTTCTCCAAAAGATACGGGGAGGTGACAGAGGTGGTTGTTGACAGGATCTGTTGAGCAAGTCAGCACAATGCCTCTTTTCAGGGAACGTTCTCCGCTCTGACTCTGAGCTAGAGGTGGGCAAAATCCGGATAAATATCCGGATAATAGGATAATCCTCGATAAGACATTATCCGAATTCAGACTCTTAACTCTCTTTTTTCCAGACCCGTTTGCCGAAGTGGGTACACCCATTTGTTGAAATGATGCTACCCGCTTGTCGAAGTGGTTCTTACCCATTTGCCGAAGAAGTTCATATCATATTATTTGCCGAAGAGGCGCACTAAGATAGTATCCGGATTTTGCTAAAGCGACTCATTGCCCAGCCCTACTCTGAGCACTTTGAGGATTCTCAGTTTACTAGAACTAAGACAACCCAACGGAAGCGTGGCAGGCCAGCTATACTTATGTTATTGGAAGTGCCCATCCTCCGACGCTATAAAGAAACAAATTAAACCACCCCAAGAAAAAAGACTATTGTGATAACAGGTTCATGCTCTGTTACAACATGGACATTTCTCAATCTCAAACATCATTTTCACGGGTAATTTTTGTTTGTTTGTTTAAATCTTGGTTCATTTATCTAAAGGCCATTTTGTTTATAGTATTTGTACATAAAGAATATCAAAAATGAAACATCTGCACAATCATCACATTGTGATATTATACTATTACAACAGCCTACATTTAAAAAACAAAACAATTATTATTGAATTTCATTGGAAAATCAAAATAAAACGAAGTGATACACATATAGAATGCATGTCACTGGAAAGGTTAATTGGGGTAAGCTGATAAATCCATGGATTCTGGAATGCCTTAGGTTATATTATTAGTATCACATCAAAGAATGAAAAACAATGAAAAGAACAATCATAATAATACTAGACTCTCTGACTATGAGTATGAGCAGGTGGAGAGTTCGATCCCCGGCTAGGAAGGATCGAGCACCTTGTCTTTTCTGGGATAAGGACAAAAAAGTTCCAGAGGCCCCAACTGAAACTCTTTTTTTTCTTCCACGTTAAGCATCATTTGGCGGTTCTAAAATCGAAAAGAGTAGGCTCTTGGAGCATCCGCCACGTAAAAAGATTCCAAATTAATTTCTACCCAAAACCAAACCGACCCTATTCAGTATAAATATAAAGAGTGCCTCCGAAAAATGCACGTGGCTGCTGTCAAGCACGGGATGATTCTACCTTCTATGTAAATGTGTACGTAAAAATCAGCTGCACGGAGAGATGAAGATCTTACAGTCAGTTATCCCCTGAGCTCCAGCAAGGGTACCCAGAAGAAATGAACATCAGTGCACGAACCAGAAGCGCCAGGACATACAATGAGAAATGGAAAGTTTACAGGTGGCTGTATAAAAGATATGCAAGATGAATCGGTAACAAAACCGAAAGGAAGGACGTAAGAATTATAGAAGCGCACAGACACATGTCTACATAAAGATAAACACGTACAATTCGTGGACGGGCCTGTGCAGAGAGTGAGGGTGCGCGTTAGAACAAATGTGTGTACGCGTGTGCGCGCGCAACTTTGTGTGTATGTG